CTGCTGTGCGTGGGCGGCAGCACCTCTTACCGTGGTGTACTTCCCCAGCTGGCAGAGCGAGGGGAAGGTCTCCTGGTGAGCTTTCCGGATGGTCTCTGTGAGATCGTCCAGCTCCGCGGTCATCTCGTAGCTTTCCGGGCATTCCTGCTTCGAAGGCTCCTTCTTCTTCTTGTTCCTGTCATTTCTGACAGCTGGAAATGAACACGAATGCAAATCAGGGCTCATGAATGGTTGGCTCCACCTCCCACCACCACGACCTTGGAAGCGTCTACAACCTGGTACAGAAACAGTGGAAGGGGGTGAGGCATCTCCGAGGAATACGGAGTTGGCAACCAGAGAAGCCGGGGAGGGGAGCAAGACTGGCACCTGCCTGTCCATCTTCTGGAGTGCTTCAGCTCACCCAGAAGGTTTAGACCCCTTTGGGGGTCGAACGACCCTTTCACAGGGGTCGCCCGATACATCACAGTAGCAAAATGACAGTGATGAAGTAGCAATAAAAATAATTTTCTGGTTGGGGGTCCCCACAAGATGAGGAACTGCATTAAAAGGCCGCGTCATTAGGAGGGTGAGAACCACTGGCTTAGAGTAGTGGCTCCTGTTTAGACACTCTCCAACGCGGACTGGATTCCTGCAAGAGACAAGTGCCCTTCTCCCCACTTGTCGATGACAGGGAAACCACCGGAGAACTAGGTCCCCGGACCAAGCCCTCCCAGCTGCACAACTAGGAATCCTTAGCTAAGCGGCTGTAGAGTTCTCCATTATGTGTAAAGTTATGAGATATAACCGACACAGTATGGAACCCCAGAGCACCCTTCACTCATCCATTAGTTCATTCATAACCACGTGACATCACACCTTGTCTACCCAACCTAGCTCTCAACAGGTGTGCATGCCCTTTGCCTGGACACCCCCCCAACTGAACACAGAGGTCCACGCCCAGGGTCTACCTGGTGTTGTGGAAGCCGAGCTTCTGCCTGCAGCCTCACAGGTGACTTCAACAGCCAGCCTAACTCCAAGCTCCACCTTCTAAGAACTGAGGCCCAGCGAGGCAGCCGGGTGCAACCAGACCACAC